TCAATCAGTGGTGGCATATTGTGTTACCAATGGTTTGTTTGGTGACTGTGTCTCAACTGCCTTGAGATCATTTACAAGCTCCTCAGGTGTAGTTCTGGGATGATCCCTCACTTTTCTCATGATCATCCTTACCACATGAGGTGAAATCTTGCATGGAGCTCCAGACTGAGGGCGATTGATTTTTATTTTGTATTTCTTACATTTGCAACTAATCGCTCCAACAGTTGTCCAAACTTCTTGCTGATGATCTTGGAGCCCATTCTAGCTTTGTGCAGGTCGACAATCTTGTCCCTGATGTTCTTTGACAGCTCTTTGGTTTTTGGCCCATGGTGGTGAGGTTTGAATGGAAAAATGAGATTCTGTGGACAGGTGTCTTTTATACACATAACGAGTTGTCATTAGAAGCACCTTCTTAGATTGACAGGACTAATCTGTTTACCACATGAGCACATAGCCAGACTGTGGGAGCCAGAATTATTGTTGGTAGGGAATTAAATACTTATTTTAATCACTTTACTGCAACTCAATTTATAACATTTGTATCCTGTGTTTTTTTTTTTTTCTGGATTTTTGGTTTATATTCTGTCTATTTTTATTCTGGAAAATACACCTTTTGATAAAAAAAAATCATAGACCTTTCACTTCTTTGTAAGTGGGGAAACTTACACAATCTGGAAGGGATAAAATTATTATTTTCCCTACAGTAGGTAAGACTTTAGTTGGGATTTTTTTTTTTTACAATTGTGTAATTGAATTCAAATCTTATTCATACTGAATCAGAAATTATCTCTTCTATGGTGAACCTTAAACTACTCATACAAAGTGAATTATGTAACAAGTTAGCTCTTTTCAGACATAATCTGAAAATAGCAAGCTGTGATTTGGTGCAGACAAACGATTCATCTGATTGTTGCCCACTTAGATTTTAAAAGGTCTGTAGAGTATATTTGGCCTCATGCACCTTTGCATTTGATATTGGTGTGTCTGTTGCCACTGTCCCCCACACAATTCATATGTCTGTGTCTTAGGGAATTGTATCTACGGTTGCCAGCTGATTATATTCTTGTTGATCCTTGCCCCTGCTTTTCACCTATTTAGGGATAGGGAGTGAATTTAAAGCATATTTCAAGGTAAAATATATAAAAACATTTCATACGTCTTGGAAATACATATACATTTCCCCCTGGTTTATCCCTTTAAACACAATGCAAGTGCAAACTAAAGTTTAATTACCAGAAATATAGTATGCTCATACCTTTTTTTGAAATGAAAACACTGCTCTGAATTCCTAAGCACATGGAATCAGCTCTGCCTACAAAATGTTTGATGATTACAAAGAACACAGACCTCTCCTCATGTAAGCAGGCAGATTGGTTTTTAGAATAATAGCATACAGAACATAGCCTTGGGACATTCCCCGGCGCCAACAAAACAACATTACTACATCTCCACCCTTATTCCAGTCTCAACCCAAGCAAACCGCTCAGCATTGAGGGCAATAATGTACACATAAGGATGTAAAATAAGCAGAAAAAGTAAGGACATTAGCAAGTTTTTTTTTTGCACTTTAAGAGATTATTAACTGAACTCTTTAAATTGTATATTTTGCAGACCAACCAGGAGCAAACAAGAACTTTTGGTTTAAATACACTTTAAGGGCTTGTTTACATGTGCTTAGAAATGTGGCTTCAGATATGCTATTTTAAAGCACTCTGAATGCCAATCAAAGCCTCTTGCACTAAATTAACTGGTTAGCATACAGTTCCGTTTAAACGTTACTTTTACTTCAAAAATTATACACCAGGTTGCCTGCTTGGTGCTTAAAAGCATCTCCAAAACCTGCATAGAAGTCTATGGCAAAGCTCGCTTGTAGCACTTGTAGCTTTCGAGAGAATTTTTTATTCAGCTTTAGCAATGCTTTTGTTTTGGACATCCCCTTTCAAATCATACGCATATTGCCACTTACCTCACTATATATCTTTACTTATCACTAGAGGGATTTCTAGTAGAAGGGATAAGTTCCTAATTCCTCAACATATACCATTAGTTATCACTAGAGGGATCACCAGCAGGAGGTTCTGATTCCCTAGCATATGTTTTTAGTTTTCACAAAAAGGATTACCTGCTGGAGGAAGGGGGTCATGATTTCCCATATAGATCTTTAGTTAGTACCGAAGGTATCACCAGCAGGATGGAGAAGGTCCTGATTCCTCCAAATATCCTTTGGTGATCCCTGTAGGGATAACTATGGGCAAAAGAAGGTTTTGATTTCTCTCTATAGATCGTCAGTTGTCACTAGAGGGACTATTAGCAGGAGCAAAGAGGTCCTCATTCCTCCATCTTTTGTTGTCACTAGAGGGTTCAGGGGGATGAAGATTCTGATTCCCCTAATTAGATATTTAGTTATCAATAAAGGGATCACCAGTAGGAGGAAGATGGCCATCATTCCCTTATCGAGATCTTTAGTTAGACCTTATTTAGAATACTGTGTCTAGCTGTCTTGGGTAAAGGAGAAACCTTTAAATACTTGAAGGGAATTATTAAAATTCAGGAAGAAAGTATTTTCAATATAAGAACAGGAGCCCTCAAATTAGCAAAAGAAATGTTCAAAACTAACCCTAAAAAGTGTTATTTTATCAAAAGAGTAGTTGAGGCTTGGAGCAGACTTCAATCAAAGGTACCGAGTCAGGCAACTGTTCTCAAATCTAGCCTTGGGAAAAACATAGGTCTATGTACAGACAAAGAGTTTAAAATAAAATTTAAAAAGTGTAGAATCGATGGACCACTTGGTATTTTCCTGCTGTTACTCTTTTATTACATGAAAATGCGAGGTCTGTTTTTGCTGCCACCCCCTTCAACCCACTAAAAAAAATGCCCAGTGAAAGGTAAAAAAATGTTAAAACTTCAGAAGACAAATATAAAAAAATGCTCACCTTTTGAAAAGTCCCATTACACTGGTGGTGAGTGGGAGAGGGGCCCCATTACACTGGTAGACAGAGGGGAAAAAAAGCCACATTCCACTGGTGGCCAGTTGGAGAAGGGCCCATTACACTGGTGGTCAGAGGGTCAGAGGTCAGAGGAGAAGAAGGCTCCATTATACTGGTGGCCAGTGTGAACATGGCCCTGTTACATTGGTGGTCAGTGGGAGAAGGGCCCTATTACGCTGGTGGTCAGTGGGAGAAGGGCCCCATTACAGCAGGGGCTAGTCGGAGAAGGGCCCCATTATGCTGGTGGTCAGTGGGAGAAGGGGTGGAGCAGCTAGGTCAGCACAGATACTCACAGAAATGCAGAGGACTGACATGCAAGGAGGGAAGCAGGGGCAGACTGACAACTCATGGGGCCCCTGTGTCCCTGCCCAAACTCAAAAAAGCCTATGAAAAAGGTACCAGGGGCATCTCATGGGGCCCCATACTGACCCCGGGCCCTCGAGCAGTGCCTGAGTTTCCAAATGGTCAGTCCGCCCCTGGGAGGGAGGAGACTTTACTAGGGAATGGACTCTTCCTGTAGTAGTCAAATTTCCTAGCAAATTCAAATGCACATTGCAACTGAATAATAATGTATGGAAAGAAAAGAAACACTGCAAGTAAACATTTAGAGTACTTATTGGTGCTTCTGCCTGAATTTTTTTTTCAAAAAGCTTAAATGTATGACATTTTGGGGATACAGCACCATGGACATGAGGGGTGTGCAATGGCATATATTTCAATACTTGCAGATGGCTACTTCCTTTATAGCTGTGGGATGCTGTCCTGAGTGGCTGCCTTCTGGCATTGTAGAGGTTAAAGTGGTTATTAAAGCATTCTATGCATTAATGTAAAAATGATCCATGCAGCTCCCCCCAGCCTCCTCTAAATATATACCTGAGCCCCATCTCGATCTAGTGCTGTGCACAAGAGCTGATGCGCTCTCTCCTCATTGGCTCAGATACAGCAGTAGGAGCCATTGGCACCAGCTGTTGTCAATCGGAGTCAGTGAGAAAGGAGTGGAGCTGAGCCCCTCTCTGTCAGTCTTATGGGCACCCAGAGCAATGGCTCAGGAGCGAGCATGCACAGGTGCCCCAATAACTAGCACCTTCCTATGAGGCACTAGGCAGGGGGAAAGAGCCAGGAATGCCGCCAGGGGACCCCAGATGAGGAGGATCAGGGCAAAATCATTGCACAGAGCAGGTAAGCAGAACATATTTGTTATTATAAAACCATAAAAATTAACCTTTAATATAACTTTAACAGCAGCCACTGCTACTGAGGTAAGTTGTACCGCTCCTTTCCGCCATCCACAGAATGCCTATAGTGCATTCCTTTCTTTGACTGGAGGTGGAGCAATGGAATGACAGGATTCCAGCGTCCATTCACAGATCCCGATGCATTGTGGGCTTGTAGTAATGCCAGTTCTGTGATTGGTGGAGAGTGCAGAAGTGGGTGGGGAGTGGTACAACTTTTCTCAGTAGCAGAGCCTGCCTAGCAGCCCCGGACAGCTTGTCAGGGCGGCCGGTATTTAGTGACTGTGAGTCAGGCACTGCTAGGAAGGCACAGAGTGGGGTACCCAGCATTTCACACAGAGTGGGGTACCCAGCATGCCACACAGAGTGGGGTACCCAGCATGCCACACAGAGTGGGGTACCCAGCATGCCACACAGAGTGGCTGTCCTCTACCCCCATATAATATACCTCTCTCCGCTTCCTGGTGACAGGGCTTTCCTGGCAACTAAAGAGTTCTTTCAGCTCCGAGGTGTGCTCAGCGTTCACCTGTCTCCCGTTGCTCGGTGCACGCTATTGGTGGAGGGGGAGCGCTGTGTGTGCTCCCATTGGTGGGGAGGAGGACGATCCCGCCCTCTCGCTGTGTGGGGGCGGTGCTGTGTAGCGCACACTGATTTCCTCGCAGTGTGGAGTGATGATAAAGTCCATGGCAGACTTTCTCCCGGCTCTTCTCCTTCGGCGGTGTGTCAGCCCCGTGCTGCCCGCCATGGTACTGTGAAGTCCGCTCCGCACACTCCAGGCGCCATGGGCAAGATCAGGGTGGCTTATGAGTACTCGGAGGCCGAGGACAAGAGCATCCGGCTGGGCTTGTTCCTCATCGTCTCCGGAGTCGTGTCCCTCTTCATCCTCGGCTTCTGCTGGCTCAACCCGGCTCTGCAGGACCTCCAGGGCACCACCGCCAACTGCACCGTCCTGTCCGTGCAACAGATCGAGGAGAGCTTCGAGTGCACCTTCACCTGCGGGAGTGACTGTAAGGGCACCTCTCTGTACCCCTGTCTGCAGATCTATGTCAACAACTCCGAGTCCAACTCCAGGGCTCTGCTCCACCAGGACGAGCAGCAACTCATCACCAACCCCAAGGTAGGTGCACCGCACAACTCATCACCAACCCCAAGGTAGGTGCACCGCACAACTCATCACCAACCCCAAGGTAGGTGCACCGCACAACTCATTACCAACCCCAAAGTAGGTGCACCGCACAACTCATTACCAACCCCAAAGTAGGTGCACCGCACAACTCATTACCAACCCCAAAGTAGGTGCACCGCACAACTCATTACCAACCCCAACGTAGGTGCACCGCACAACCCCAACGTAGGTGCACCGCACAACTCATCACCATCCCCAACGTAGGTGCACCGCACAACTCATCACCATCCCCAACGTAGGTGCACCCATCCCCAACGCACAAACTCATCACCATCCCCAACGTAGGTGCACCGCACAACTCATCACCACCCCAACGTAGGTGCACCGCACAACTCATCACGTAGGTGCACCGCACAACTCATCACCAACCCCAACGTAGGTGCACCGCACAACTCATCCTACCAACCCCAACGTAGGTGCACCGCACAACTCATTACCAACCCCAACGTAGGTGCACCGCACAACTCATTCCCAACCCCAACGTAGGTGCACCGCACAACTCATCACCGTCCTCAAGGTAGGTGCACCGCACAACTCAACTCATCACCGTCCTCAAGGTAGGTGCGCCGCACAACTCATCACCGTCCTCAAGGTAGGTGCGCCGCACAACTCATCGCCGTCCCCAAGGCAGGTGCGCCGCAACAACTCATCGCCGTCCCCAAGGCAGGTGCGCCGCAACAACTCATCGCCGTCCCCAAGGCAGGTGCGCCGCAACAACTCATCGCCGTCCCCAAGGCAGGTGCGCCGCAACAACTCATCGCCGTCCCCAAGGCAGGTGCGCCGCAACAACTCATCGCCGTCCCCAAGGCAGGTGCGCCGCAACAACTCATCGCCGTCCCCAAGGCAGGTGCGCCGCACAACTCATCGCCGTCCCCAAGGCAGGTGCGCCGTCCCCAAGGCAGGTGCGCCCCATCGCCGTCCCCAAGGCAGGTGCCAACTCATCGCCGTCCCCAAGGCCCCGCCGCCCAACTCATCGCCGTCCCCATGTGCGCTGCACTCCTCATCGCCAGCCCCAAGGCAGGTGTGCGACACTCGTTCTCATTACACGTTGCTCGTTACCACTTCCAAGTTAGGTGCACCGCACTTATCTCTCCTCATCACCAGCCCCAAGAGAGGTTCACCACGCTCCTCACCAACCCTAAGTTAGAGATACCCCTCATTAATCATTATCAACCTCAAGGTAGGGAACACTGCACTCATCAACCCCAAGGTACACCACATTCATCAGTCATTTTCTCATCACTCATCATCACCACTACACCAACTTCAGGGTGCATCATCACTCCTCATTCATTTCATTATTATCACTAATCACCAACCCCAAGGTACATCACACTCCTCACCATTCATTATCACACCACCAGACCCAAGGTAGGTACACCACACTCACTCATCTTCTTATCACCACCTCCGACATGCATCATTGTATCTCTTTATTCATCTCATCTTCACTCATCAGCAACCCCAAGGTACATCTCACTCATCTCCATTCATTATCACTCATCACCTGCCCCAAGGTACACCACACTCATCACTCATCATTACCAACCCCAAGGTACATCATCATTACTCAGCATCACTCATCACACAACCACAAGATACATCATTCATCACTAATCTGATCATCATTCAACTACACCACACTCATCACCACTCCACATTATTTATCATCACTCATTACCAACCACAAAGTTTACCGCACTAATGACCAATTCCAGGGTTCACTGCACTCATTACCACTCTTCATCATCATCAACTCCAAGGTACACCATTCCTTATCACCAATTCCAAGGTACACTGCTCATCATTCTCACCATCACACCTCATCACCAACCCCAAGGTTCACCACTTAACATCACTCCTCATCACCAACCTCAAGATCCCCCCCCCCCCCGCTTATTATCACCAACCCCAAGGAGCACATCTCCGCATCACTCATCACCAACCTCAAGGTGCACATCTCAGCGTCACTCATCGCCAACCCCAAGGTGCGCACATCTCATCGCCAACTCAAAGGTGCGCACGTCTCAGCGTCGCTCATAACCAACCCCAAGGTGCACATCTCAGCAAGGTCGCTCGTAACCAACCCCAAGGTGCACATCTCAGCATCGCTCGTAACCAACCCCAAGGTCGCATCGTAACCAACCCCAAGGTGCACATCTCAGCGTCGCTCGTAACCAACCCCAAGGTGCACATCTCAGCGTCGCTCGTAACCAACCCCAAGGTGCACATCTCAGCGTGCCTCATGACCAACCCCAAGGTGCACAGCTCGGCGTCGCTCGTAACCAACCCCAAGGTGCACAGCTCGGCGTCGCTCGTAACCAACCCCAAGGTGCACAGCTCGGCGTCGCTCGTAACCAACCCCAAGGTGCACAGCTCGGCGTCGCTCGTAACCAACCCCAAGGTGCACAGCTCGGCGTCGCTCGTAACCAACCCCAAGGTACCCCAAATCATTACTCATCCTTTAACTCCAGGGTACATGACTCCTAATTGCTCATTACCAGTTCTATGGTACCACACTCATCATCGCTCATCTCACCAACTTCACAGCACCGTTGACATGGGGATCCCATTGCAGTGCTTGATCTGGACCTTCATCCGAGCTGTATGCTGTAAAGTGACTCCTTATGTTCTAGTATGGAGGATGTGTGTGATCATCATCACACCCCTTACAATTTGATTGTACTGTCTCCTTAAGATGGCCATGCACTATGCAATCTGATATCCTTTAAGATTGCTATGCACTACTAGACAATCTGATCGAACAGTCTCCTTTAAGATGGCCATGCAACATACAATCTGATATCCTTTAAGATTGCTATACACCTTACAACCTAATTGTACAATTTTCTATAGATCTACTCACAACTATTTAGCAGAGCATCCTGCCTGACTGGATACAGATTGATTTGATTAGTTTCGGTAGGTCCTCATATTACATAGTTTTGCTAAATCTAATGGTGGCCATACACAGTTTGCTTTTATTATCTGATTGATGCCTGATTCACTCAACATGATTGAAACGTCATATAATCAAACAGCAAAAACTTCCCTTCCAATCAAATTCGACTTGTTGTAAATCAAACTAAGTCGGAAAGCCAGGGCAGAAAATTGATTCTTACATTTGAGGTGCTTTGTGATTCCAATTGTATTTTCCTTGATCAGATTACATGGTGAAAACAGAGATGTGATTGATCATTTCCAGTCACATCTACTAACTATTGATGAAAATCCACTTCCCCATGTGTGGTATAATAATGAACGGGTTGACTATAGATCGATTATTCCGATCAGGAAAGATCAATTGTAACAGAAAAGAATCATTTATTGAAGGGTGGATGGCTACCTTTTTGCAGCTATGTAGTACAAGGGCCTTCCTGATTGGATCGTTTAAGCAGATCCTCATATTACATAGTCTAAAGTTGATTGTAATGTGTATGGTGACCCATAGAGTTCTGCATGACCTGCTGTCATCTCTGGCAATGTCCCCCACATATGGATGTACACTGTCACTTTAATGGTTGCCACATTCCTGGAAGTAATCACTGACTTGCTCCATGAGATTTTTCGTATGCTCGGTGACACTTTTTTTCTATCAGAAGTGGTGTAATGTGAATGTCTGCTTTTAGCAGATTATGGGACGATCAGAGATTTCCACTTAGCCGCTTTTGTGTAGCATTGCAGTGTTAGAAATGCTGTAATACCCAACATGATGGGGTTAGGTAACATTTGAATAATGGATTTGTGTCTTCCCGGGTGTCCAGGTTCTCTGTCGTAGTTTAGGATGCCTAATGGTCTTTCTATTGTGCTATGAGATAATGAGCAGAGTGGTACAGAGCAGACCATGCTCCCATGTAATACTTTCCTCTAATGTACGGCACACAATGGCCTGCCCTTTAGCGATGAGAAAATAATAATCCTTCCTATAATGGGGAGACGGGCAGATAACGCACAAGGGGTAATCAGCAGCATACGTGCAGAAATCGTCTTGTTACTGTTATTGTGCCAATCAGGGCTGATGAACGAGTTAATACAATTGTCGTTACCGTTCGGAGATAAGCTCTGTTGCCTAGGGGATGAGGTTTGCTAGTATCTGAGGTTCTCAGAACGAGGGACTCGGAAATGAATTTACAGATCAGCACGCAGGGCCCAAATAGCGCTAGACGCATTATTCACACAGCATCAAACTTTATTCTTTCTGTCACCTGTGCTCATCACACAGCGCAGACTGTTCTTCACATTACTTCTGGATGGAAGAGTAAAAGCCCTGTAGTCTATCATCTACCTACTATGTTCTCTGGGCACTACTAAACTGTTTTTGGCGGTTTTTCTACCGCACTTATTCCCTTGGTTCTGGCTAAGATTATAAATGTAATAAGCGATTACAACCTTTTGTCTGTACATGAATTTAGCCAATCCTCATGTGGCTAATACCAAATAACTATCCAAAAATAAAGATCTAATTTATTTACACAGAAAAGAAGCTTGCTATTAATCAAATATAACAAAATATAATGTAGCCGGTATAACTTTAAAAGTAGTAATATTACAATGCAAATACAGAATGTTACCAATACAAAGATGACTACAGGAAAGAAAGTTACAGAAAAGAAACCTAGAATAATATGTTACGCAGACATCCTGATCCAACACAACAAACACTTTACTCCTGCGCTAGGAAAGGACTCCGTAGAGCCAATAGGAATGTTCTGGAATTTTCTGGAATATGCACTGCTTGCTGCCCTCAACAGATCGGGGTGGTCCGAATACACTGGATACAAATGGAGAAACAGAAAAAGGGTGCATCGACCTAGTGCATTATTGTTTAAAATAATTTATTAAAGAAACAAAAATCGGTATACTCACAATGGACATAACACAGGCATGTCAAACTGAACAAGATGTATGATCCAAACAACATCTGAGTCCATACGATGGAACCCTGGATGACCAACTGGCTAACGCGTTTC